GGGGGGGGGATTAATAATCCCTGGATTAAAAATCAAGACGAGGCAAAACTTGAGAAAATCAATTTCAATTTTGCAGTGCAAATCCGTTGTGAGTGAGTCTGCATTTGATTGCAAATCCATGCAATGTAAACAATAGAAGCATAGAAGCTAAAAAAAAAAGAATTTTCCTTGAGAAGCTGAGAAATGAGCCTTTGTTCAAGAGGCCTTTGCCCGAGCCCAAAATGCCGTGCACAATGAAGATGAAATAGAAGAAAAACAGCTATACGATAAGAAAGGTGGGAAAAAGTAAAATTAAGATGCGAAAGAAGAATGGGAACATTCTTTGGCATGAGAATATTTATTCAACATTTTAAAGATTTTAACGAGTAGAATGACAATTTCACTTGCATGAATGTCATTAAATCTTAGGCAAATGCTTTTTAAAAACAATACTCAAAGAGTTACAACCATTTTCGTCAACCCAAAGAAAAAATCCTAGAAAACTCACTCAACGACAGAAAAGCGGTAAAATAAAATATAGATAGCTCCCTCTGTCGCAGAGTATAAAGAAAGCAGTGACGCACACCATACAAATACGAAGAGTATAACGGAGAAATGGCATTAGTCACAATCTGAAATTTTGTTGTCTTTGTCCGTTTTGATCCATTGTTTGTCGAAAAATACCATTTATTTTATTAGAAACATCTGCAGTCACGCATTTTTTACTATTATTTTCTATACAGGTGTTTTTACGCCCCAATCGACACAATTTGGATCCTCGGTAGTCACGCACTCGTGGCATGTCTAAAATAAAAATACGTAGAAAGAACTACAATAGTCCCTACGAACTCGTGAAAGAATGACACTTAGATTTACTCCACACTTTTCCTGTAACTCATGCCATTTTCCCGCTGACAATTTTTAAGTATCAGAATACACGGTGATATATGTTTTTTTGACATGGGTGATCATGTGATGACTTGCCAGCTTTGACAGAAAGTTATAAACTTTACTGAATACATTGGAGCAAGGAGTCGGAGGATTTGGGTTGGGGAAGGGGTTTGAAGAGGTGGGGGAGGACTCAGTGGCTTGTAAGTTCAGGCTCACAATAATGTCACGTGTTTGTCGGTGTCACGGAGTTTTAGTGGGTGGTCATTGTGGTGTCCTTGTTCATGTTCACAACTTTATCCTAAATCGTAATTTGATTGGTATGGTATGAGTTCATCGCTCTTTTCGACACTGAAAGGTTACTTGAATATCTTGCTGTAACATGCTAAAAATAACATATAAAGCAAAAGTGACAGAGGTCGACGAGTGGTCATTCATGGGTGGGTGTCTTGGAGCAAGACACATTAACCAAAGCTTGAAACCCCCCTACTCGCC